GGCTAGAAAAGAACCAATAAGTTGCATTAATTGATCTTATGTCACCGGCACTTTTGGGGGGCCGCCCTGGCTGCCTCCCCTAGCTAACTCACTCATGAGTGTTTTATTGTTTGTCTCATGAATCAAAGGACAATTATAATATGCAGGGAAACAATTGAAGACAATTACGTAAATATGTATACACCTGATCCACTACAATATCTGCTTAGGAGAAGAACAGAATTTTTGCTTGAAAGCGCCCCATGTCTGTCCTAATTTGCGTTTCCGTATCGTGCTACTTTACTATACACTCCGTACACACGTTACATTGGGGTGTGCGATATACTATGTAAATCAAAACTATGTGTGGTCATATTTTTTAATTAGTCTAGATATTTTAGTAATCTTGTAATATGATTTATATATAAAAACTGGTTTTAGATGTGCAGGTCACACCTTTCTTTTTAATAAAATCATTTTGATATTAATCCCATTTTTTTTCAGGTCTTTTTATATATAATCGCTACTTCATTTAAAAATTTTCAAATAAATAATATTTTTTTTCAATAGATAGACTTATTTGGCTTCGTAACTGTGTTCTTTGATACTTAACCTTAATGTGTGCAAATTTGGATTTCTAATAACCAGCTTTTAGGGATGTACATCTTTGAAATTTGCAATCAAAGGACATATCTTCTGTTTCACCAAAATCTTCAATATTAAATTTTTATTTAGGCCATATAGTATATCGCACACCCCAACGTTACATATGTAATTACATAAAATAATTCGATTCTATTTTTTTTGAAACTGATCAAAAAAAGTTCAAAGAACATAAGGGACATATTTTATAAATAATTTACTATATCTAATTGCCTTTTAAAACGAACACCTGAACAAAATTTTCTTCTCTTAATTGGGTTACAATAATGGTATTTTGGAATTCAAATCCTCCTCCTCCTCGTCCAAACATTGATATACCCGAGACAAAAGCCAATTTATTTTCTGTACTTACTTTATGGTGGGCCAACGATTTAATGAGCTTAGGTTATAGGCGCCCCTTGGAAAAAGATGATCTATACGTTTTGAATGACGCGAGATTGGCTAAAATTGTTACCGATAAGTTTGAAGTCGAATGGAAAAAAGAAACTCAAAAAATTGCAATGGGAAAAAAACCATCATTATTAAAAGCTCTATACAGGGTTTTATGGCCTAAATTTTATTTGGCAGCCTTCTGTAGATTTCTTAGTTATACATTAATGGTCACTTCACCATTGATTTTAAAGGTATGTTTCATACATACCATACCTTCATTCATGCAATTAACTATAACATGTCTCGACAAGAAAAAATTTTCTTAATATACCTGATACTTTAGTTAATTTTAACCTTTGTCTCTGATGCATACTTTGCCAACCTTTATAACGGTGCGCAACCCCCTGCACATGTTGGCTACTTATTAATAGTTGTTTTGTTCTTAATGCTATTGTGCGGTAATCATTTGCAAAGCCTTTATTTTTATTGTACAAGGGAAGTCGGTTTTCTCTCTCGCACTATTCTCATAACTGCTATCTATCGGAAAGCTTTAGTCTTAAGTGGAAAAGCAAGATGCTTATTTACTAATGGAAAAATCACTAATCTAATGTCCACTGATACTACGCATATAGACTTTGCATGTGGTTACTTTCACTTACTTTGGGCTGTTCCTATTCAATGTTGTATGGCATTGGGTTTGTTAATATTTATTATTGGTCCATCTGCATTAGCTGGTTTTGCTTTATTACTATTAATGGGTCCCTTCCAAGGAAAGGTTATGCCGTTGTTGGCACGTACCAGGGTTAAAATTGCTAGTGTAACTGATGAACGGGTAAAGTTAACTCAAGAGATTTTATTGGGGATAAGAGCTATTAAATATTACGCTTGGGAAGATAGTTTTATTGATGCTCTTAATAAATTAAGGAATAAGGAGATTAGTTTGGTTAGGTTATTATTAGTTATTAGAAATACTCTTGCTGGTATTTTGATGGTAATTATCTTATAATTACTTTATCTTTTGCTGTATTTTATTATGTTTTGCTTTTATTTTGTTTATTTTATCTTTTTTATTTGTGCTTGACTCACTTTAGGCCGTTCCTATATTTGCTAGTATCTTAACATTTATAACATTCTCACTGGCAGGGGGTAAACTCGACCCTGGAATTGTATTCTCTTCTTTGGCATTATTCAATGCTCTTCGAATGCCTTTAATGCTCATGCCACTAGCTATAACTTCTGTTACTGATGCCTATGTAGCAATTAATCGGATAAATGAATTTTTGCAGGCTGATGAATTATCAGTTTTATCGAGAATCAATCCAGATGAACAATATGCTGTTAAAGTTACTGATGGGGAATTTATTTGGGAAAGTGCTCCACCTGAAAAAATTAATGATAAATTTAAAAAAACAAAGAAAAGAGAAAAAAAATCAAAAAAACATAAAAAAAATGATAAGAATGGAAATGATTCTTCAATTGTTATCTCTAATGAAAAGGCTCCAACTTCGAATGATAATATTTCTAATACCTTTAAAGCTTTTACTCCTGATAATTTGGTTGAAAACTTTAGAAATTCTCAGTCATCTTCTCCAAAATCTCAACTTCGTAATATTAATGTTTCAATACCCCGTGGAAAGTTGATTGCCATTATTGGTTCTGTAGGTTCTGGTAAATCTTCATTATTGTCTGCTCTTGTTAGTGAAATGAAAAAAATTAAAGGAGAAGTCCTACTTGGAGGAAATATTGGATACTGTCCTCAAACTGCGTGGATTCAAAATGCTACACTTAGAGACAATGTTACTTTTGGATTACATTTTGATGAAGAAAAGTACCGACAAGTGATTAGAGATTGTTGTCTCGAACCAGATTTAAAAGTATTACCTGCTGGTGACTTGACGGAAATTGGAGAAAAAGGAATTAATTTATCCGGAGGGTACGTTATTGTTTTATTAACCATATAAGTGTTAAATAATAACATACACGGTATTTTTTAAAAAAAAAACTAAAATTTATTTTGATTCTTCAGACAAAAACAACGTGTCAACATTGCAAGAGCTGTGTATTATAATGCTGATATTGTATTATTAGATGATCCATTATCGGCAGTTGATGCACATGTTGGAAAGTACTTATTCACAAACTGTATTCAAGGTGCACTTGCCAAAAAAACGCGTTTACTTGTCATGCATAATTTACATTATCTATCACAAGTTGATTACATAATATGTATGGAAGATGGTGAAATCGCAGAACAAGGAACTTATGAAGAATTAATGAAAAATGGGAAAGCCTTTTCGAAATTAATTGCTGAATATGGTGAAGCCGAAAGTGACGATGAAATAAAAGAAGACATAGAGCCAACGTTGGACGACGAAAAAGAAAATAAAAAAGATCAGATAGTTGTTTTGTATAGAGGATTAATGTCAACGGAAGAACAATATACAGGAACAGTGAATAATGAGATATATTTGGCATATATTAGGAATGCGGGTGGATTGTTACTGATACTAGTTATTATTTTCTTGCTTGCTATAACGCAAGTGACAAATATTGGGCATGTTCTCACCATCTTAATAACTTAATACCATTTTGAATTACATACACAATCTTATACATAATCGGAGAAATTGCTAAACTTACAACTCTTTCTTATTTTTTTTAGAAATAACTTATGGCTTTCGTTCTGGTCCAGCAACACATTTGACTTTCCCGTAGGACTTTATGTAGATGTCTTTAAAATTTATGAAGTCTTAACTTACAGTATAACTAGACAAAACCAATTTATTAACTACTAATTTGCATTAATAGATGAGTGTTTATTGCGCATGGGGAGTCGCTCAAGGGATTTTTAGTGTTTTGAGTGGTGTTGCATTTTCTTACTTCGGTGTCAATGCAGCTCAGAGATTACATAATAACGCAATTAAACGTGTATTAAGAGCGCCAACACATTTTTTTGATACCACTCCTTTAGGAAGAATTATTAATCGGTAATTGATGTATCTAACTTATCATTAACCATCTTATTTTTGATATAACATTTTTAATTCAAATTCATTTAATATCCAGATTCAGTAAAGACGTCGACGCGTGCGACAGTTTACTTTCTGAATCGTATCGAATGTTTCTTACATACTTTTCGAACGTTATTGGAATTTTTATTCTAATTGTAGTGGTTTTTACATGGTTTATTGTGCCGTTGGTTGTTTTGATGATACTTTATTATTTAACGGCTCTTTATTTTCGTGCGTCTAATCGTGAGTTAAAGCGTAAGTATCGTTATCATAACTGTATATATATTTATATTTTAAAAAAAAAATTTTTTTTTTTTGCAGGCCTTGATTCAGTATTAAGATCATCGCTATACGCCCATTTTTCAGAGACACTTACTGGGCTGCCAATTATTCGCGCATATCGTGAACAAGAAAGATTTTTGAGGTTTTTAAAATTCGATACCTTATTATCTTTAATATGATTTTCTTAATATAATACTTTTTTTCACTCGAAAATATTCTTAAAAATACAATAGAAATAACGAAGCTTTTTTAGATATTGAAAATAGAGCATACTTTCTCATTATATGTATTCAGCGATGGCTTGCAGTGCGTCTTGAAATCATCGCAAATATCTTAATATTATTTGCAAGTTTGTTTGCAATAATTTTTAGATTTAATATTTTACCTTCTATTACTGGATTAGTATTGTCTTATGCACTTCAAGTTACATTATTTTTTGATTGGTGTATTAGACACATTTCTGAAGTGGTAAGTAAATAATATTTAAATAATATAGTTTAAATTACTAATTTTTTTATTGCCTAATAATAGGAAGCAAATATGAACTCAGTGGAACGTTTAGTTTACTACAGTGATAAGTTAGAAGTAGAAGCCGAGAATATAATACCGGACAACCGACCACCACCTGGGTGGCCAGCTCGTGGAGAAATTCACATTAAAAATTTAGAAATTAAATATGGACCTGATAGTCCTCTAGTTTTAAAAGGAATATCTGTTAATATTATGGCTGCTGAAAAGATTGGAATTGTTGGCCGAACTGGTAAATTTTAGATCCGTTTGAGAATTATCAAAATTCGAATATTAACCTCTCTTTAATAATAGGATGTGGAAAATCAACGTTGGCAACATCATTCTTTAGATTTATTGAAGCAACCTCTGGAAGCATTGTAATTGACAATGTTGATATCAGTACTATTGGATTAAAAGACCTTAGAAGTAATATCACTATTATACCTCAAGAACCTGTACTATTTAATGGCACTATTAGGTAAACAAAAACCTCGATTGTATTTAGTTATTATTAAAGCCTTAAACTGATTATTGAATTCTTTTGAAAAAAATAGAAGCAATTTGGACCCATTCAACGAGCATAACGACCTTAAACTTTGGAATGCACTTCATCGTGTATACTTGATTAAAAATTCCAACTCTACTTTTGAAAAAGAACTAGAAGAGTTAGAAGATATTCATTCTATTTCAGACCTGAAAAGTAATAAACAGGAATCAACAACACTTGACTTACCTGTTACAGAAAATGGTGCAAATTTTTCCCAAGGCCAACGACAGCTAATTGCACTTGCCAGAGCATTAGTTCGTCATCCTAAATTGATAATATTAGATGAAGCTACTGCAAGTGTAGATTTCAAAACTGATCATCTGATACAGACTACAATTCGGAAAGAGTTTAAAGATAGTACTGTTATCACTATTGCACATAGATTACGAACAATCGCAGATTATGATAGAATTTTGGTTTTGGGTATGTCTTTTTCAAAGAAAAATTTTAATTATTTTGAAAAATAATAACTCCTTCTCTACAAAATTAGATGCTGGAATTGTAGTAGAATTTGATATTCCATATTTATTGATGCAGAAGCCAGATGGGTGGTTTAGAGGGCTGTGTGATAGAAGTGGTGAATTTACAGAATTAATGGAAATTGCTAAGCAAAAATATGAGTGTATATCGTCGATACATTAATGTATTTATTAATATGCAGATTAATATATGAAAAGATAATTTTTATATTGCATATCATTTCAGGCTTTATTATTACTATAACTAGCAATTAAAAGTATGGAGGGTGACTTCGTCGCTTGCTTAAAAACTATAACAATAGTAATAGGTTAAAAGGATTAGATAATATAATTTGATGTTTTTATATTTTCAGTTTGTATTCGTATCATATTAGCTGTATATATAGGTTAGTAAATTTTAGTCATTATTATGAAATGATATGCCAATAATTATAGGCCATTATTTGATTAATCTAAACACATGTAGCTATTGCATCAGGTGTGCAGTAGATATTAGTATATATTGTACAGCTAATACAATATAAATATAATAAATTTTGTATAATTTAATATTAAATTTAATGTTGCATTAATGCTAAAGTTAATATTAAAGTCAATATTAATATCAATATTAATATTAATATTGAAATTAAAATTTGGGTTGGTACATAGCAAAACTATGCTGTGAAAGGTTTCAACCAAAATTGTGATTTTTATTAAGTTGAATTCCCAAATATATACTTTATACCTGGTAAAAATTTGGATTTATATTATTATAATAAAATTTAACACAAATTGATGTGTAGTTTTTTATTGCATCCAGTTTTATATTTTAAATTTAGATTAGTATTATACTGAAATAAGATACTGCAGAACTGCATTATAACAATAATACATACCAATTGATGTTTTCTTAATGTTAATATATATAAGCTAAAAAGTAAAAGGAAAATTACAGAAAAAAAAAGAAAGGCTAATAAAAGTTAAAATATATATATATTAGAAGCAAAAAATTTTTTAATGCTTATTTGAAGCAATGCATAATTCATTTTATAGAGATTATAAACATATGAACAAATCTTTTGAAATAATTGTTTTTGATATTTTATGAATAATAGTTTTAAAGGAATTATCTAAAGGTTCGTATAGTTAAAATAAATATTATTACAAAATGTTGCTTCAATTTTTGTACTATTAGCTTTTAATAATATAAAATTTTCTCTAGGTTTATTATAATAGAAATAAAAATGTCAAAATGCTTATATACCATTATTCTTATTGAAATAAGGTTCAAAAAAAGGTTTAAAATCATAATAATTCTATTCTATTTTTTTATTTTTATTATATCTAATAGCTATATTACTTCTATCTTTTTTTGAATGATTAATAATTGTTTCAATATGATTCATGCTCATAATATTATGTTTATAATATTGTGATTTAATTATTCTAAAATGCAAATTACAAATAAACTTGGTATGTTCAACAATTATAAAATTAAGTTAAATTATATCAAACATTTAATAATTGTAAACTATAAGTAAAACCAAATAATTAAATTATTTTTATTTTGTTTACTACAGTTATCACATGTTTTCTTTAGATATTTTTGTGATGAATTCTAGTTAAATAAATTATTATATATAAGATTAAGAGTAGTATTAGCCTCTTTAGATATTTTCATTAGAAAGTAATATTCTTTAATCATATAGTATCTTTGTGTTGTAGATTTTAACTTAGTATTAGTAACTTAAAAAGATAAATATTAAATAGTAATCTAAAAAATAAGCTTTCAAGTTATTATAGTAAATGAAAAATAGATGCATTTTAGACTTTGTCATAACAAATATAACAATAAATTTTGACTGTTTACTAACTAAAATATTTTTATTATAATAATTATGTTCAACTTTTGTAGCTATATTATGAAGGTCATATTTATCTTGAAGTTTTTATTTATTTTCAATATTATCAGTAGCCCAAATTTTAGTATAAAGTTGTTTATACTTGTTACATAATCTGATGCTTTAGTTATAAACCAAATAAGAGATACAACTTCTTTTCAAATTTGAAAAAATATTGTATATACTATTATTTTGTAATTTCATCTTTTATTAGACTTAATTGTATTAACATATTCTTCATAAATACTCATATATGTTTTTAATAGAAAATAAAATTATAGATATTAAATAGTTTTATATATTTTGACCAAATAATAAAATCTATAAAAATCAGCATAATTTTGAAAATAATTATTAATCTCTTGTTTTATTTTATTATTTTCTATAGTATGGTCATACTAAATTAAAATGCTTCTACATTACCATAAATTATTTTAGCTATTTTATTATTTTTAATATAAGTTAAATTTAATCGAGATGGTATAAAAAAATTGTAATTAATATTAGTTAAATAGACAAACACACTTATTTATTATTAAAACTTTTAATCATTATTGAAATTAAATAAATTAAATAATATTACAAATACTTGTAAAGTTTATTTAATAAAATTTTATAATGATATTTGTTTATAACAAAAAGTTTGCCAAATTTTAATTTAAATATATAAAAATTGTAGCAAAACAAGAATTTTAATTCAAACATATTAAATTATAGTAAAACTAAAATTATATAATAATTATACTATTGTAGGTAACCATGATTTGATCATTTACTTTAATAATTATAACATTCTAGTTACACTTATTAAACAACTCTAATAAATTCCAAATATTACAGCAATTAAATAATATATAACTTAAATAGGTGCTCAAAAGGTGCATGTGTGGCTAGTTGTACTCTCTAATGTAATTGGGGTTCCATTGTGAGCTTTCTATCCAATATACTTTAATAAAAACCCTTATACCAAAGAGACTAGTTAATAAAAAAAAAGATATATAATTAGTTTAATATAAAATTTTATTGCTATAATGTTGTTAGTATACAATAAAAATACTTAATAGCAATAAAATTTTATAATCATATTCAAGACTTACAAAATAGCACTAAAATTATAAAATTTTACTAATTTTGGTTAATTATAAATCACAGCACTTAATTCTTGCTATTGTTATTTTATAAAAATTGCAAGCTTGCCAATTACTTTAAAGTTAATATTTATATAATCTTAAGGTTAACAATTCTTGATAAAAAATAAAGTATTTAAAAATAATAAAACAAAAATATTAATCAGTAATTATGAAAAAATATATTATTTTTTTTTTAATAAGCTATTCTCTAAAATAGACTATCTTTATTTTTTTAAAAATCTTAAAGAAATTACTATTTATTTTTATTTTTTTTGTAGTCAAGATTAGTCTTTTTGGCTTATTACTTTTATTAGATTATAGAACCATGTGATGTTTTTTTCAAGGGGTCTTAGACAAGTATATCTGATGAAAATATATATAGATACATGTACAACTTTAGTTATTGTCTATTTAAGGACTCCACTATATCTCTATAGTTACTCTTCATATATTATACTGGAGATCTACTTGTAGATCTTCTATTGAAATTCTCTTATTAAAGTTTTTTATACCAATCTGCTTTAACTTTATCTAGAACATGTAATATATTAGTTAGTTCAAGTTTTAAGATCATTATATTCTACCAATAGGATCATCATTTTTGATTATTCTTAAGTACATCATCTGCTAAAGCTGTCTGATACTACTATTACTATATTACCTAGTTTTATTCAGAAAATATTATTAAATAGATTTTATATTTTTATAAGCAAGCTATACTGCCAATTTTTTCTACTAATATATTAGCCAAATAGGTTCTAAACCTTTATAAGCAGGCCATATTACCTAACTACCTAATTTTTGTAAAGTTTATCTAAACCTTGAAATTCTTTTTTTAAAACAAACTAGTGTCTTTTTTTTAATACTTCTAGATGATCTTTTTAGACTATTAATTTTGATAGTCTAGAAAGAATACCAGTTCTTTCTTTCAGTTAGTCTAGCAATCTGGTTGGTAAAGTAACTTGATAGTACTCTTGCCTTGTCTAGTTCTCCAGGCTTGGTGAAAACTATTCTAGTAGTTACTATTAAAAGCATATGCTACATCTTTATTCAAGTCTTGCCAAGCAGACTTCTCTAGTATCATTTATCAGAATAAAACAATTCCAAAAACTTATTATAGGTTTACAGCACTTTACTTATTTTGTATCCTTTTTGTGCAACTCATACTTTATATAAATGCACAGAATCTATCTTGGATCAGCCTAATAGTGCAATAAATATTGTGATATCTAGTAGGAGAGACTTTGTTATATCAATACTAATTTAATTTAAAGATGTTAACATTAAAAAGAAGAGTGCAAATATTTATTAACTCTTTTCAGATATCAAAAGTACTAAACCAATGTTTTTTATTGTATCCTAGACACTAAGTAACTAATATCTTTATCTAACCAATCAACTTAGTATATTTCTAATATATTAAAATCTAATACAAAATACAAAACTAAGAACTGACTAAATTCTCTCTAAAACTCTTTAATTAACCAACTTTCTAACAAACATTTTATATAACTCTATTTATATATATACTTAGACTACAAATTAATTAAAAATTATTTACAAATATGCTGTATAATAATATTAAAGTCTAATTAAAATATGCATTACAACTATTAACTTTGTATAGACTATTATAAAGTTATACTAAAATTATATATTGAAAGTTTAATTTTGAAACTTAGTTGCATAATATATTCTTTTTCTTGAAGGGTAAGCTTCACTCAAATTCTAATTCTTACAAAAACTTTTGATTATATCACATGCTTATTATTTGTTCATAATCATCCAGACTGCCTCTTTATAATCTATTTCTAACATGTCTTTTGATATTCATCTAAATCTATGTTTGGCTCTATTTTCTACTATCTTGGGTTTAGACCTTAATTTTTAGGTATTGCAATTTATATAATTATTCAATTTTTATATAACTTTTAAATGTAAAAGTATTGTGTGATATATATTTCATCTAATAATTTATATTTAATGTTCTATATAGGTTCTATATTTTCAGTTCTATAAGTGATCTATTTTCTGCATCTACTCTAATAGTCATTCCAAATCAACTACATTTGTTTGCTTTGATTGCTAACTAATATCCTTTGTTTTGAGTACTTCATAATCATTTTTTTCATATATATAAATACTACTAC